GGTTTCACTTGCAGAATGATTTTCACGAATTTCTTGATAATTTTGTGAATTACTATCTGGTTCTCTGAAGAAAATTTCCACTTCCTCTTCTTCTCCTATCTTACTCTCTTCAACAAGTGCAATTTCCTTCTTACTTTCATCAGGTTTATAGAAACTACTGTGTGCATCTTCCAGAAATTTCACGTCTCTGCTTATACATATCCTTCCTGAACTTCTGTTCAACAATCTATATGCTTTAGATCCAGTTTCATATCCAACCAAAACATATTCCACAGCTTTTTCATCTAATTTCCTTCTTTTTTCTTTTGGAATGTGCACATATGCAATACTGCCAAAAGCTCTAATATGATTAACACTTGGTTCTTTCTTATGCCATATTTGGTATGGAGTTGAAGTTATAGCTTTAGTGGGTAATAAGTTTTCGAGATAATTTGAAGTCATCACTGCTTCTCCCCAGTAGGTTTTTGGAAGATGTGCATCAATCAGTAAGCATCTTGCCATTTCAGTAAGATATCGATTTTTTCTTTCAGCAATGCCATTTTGCTGACTCGAATATGGTGCTGTCAACTGGATTTGTATACCCTCTTGTTGTAGATACTTTTTCAAATCCAAATTAACATATTCACCACCTCTATCCGATCTCAAAATTTTGGGTTTCTTGTTGAATACATTTTCCACCAGTTTTACATACTCTTGAATTTTTTCTGATACTTCATTCTTCTTCGCAAGCAAATATATGATACAATATCTAGAGTAATCATCTATCATGGTGAGGATATATTTCTTTCCACCTGGTGTGATTGTCTGCATAGGCCCACATAGGTCGGTGTGAACTAGATCTAGTACATCTGTAGTTTTATTAGATGATTTCTTCGGAAATGATTGTTTAGTCATTTTACCTTTTATGCATACTTCACAAATCATTTTTCGCCCACAATTGCTTATTTTCATTCCATTCACCATTGCATTCTTCTCCATTTCAATCAGTACCGCAGGATCTCGATGACCAAACCTTTTGTGCCAAATGTGAATACATCCATTATTACATCCATCCCAAACTGCCATTGCTATGTTTGCACAATTCAACTGGTATAAATTTCCATTGATGATGCCCTGAGCCATGACTTTGTCTCCCAGCTTGATGTTGCAGATATTTTTCTCAAATTCGACTTTAAAACCAAGGTTGGTTAACCTTTTAACAGATAACAAACTAGCTCCTAAATCAGGCACGTATAGTACGTTGGCGACAGCGACTTCATTTGTTTCATTGTTGCTCAACAAACATTTCAAAATTCCGATACCAAATCCATAAGAAGTGACTTTTCTTCCATCAGCCAACTCGACTTTACTTCGAGAATTCGTGATTTTCTTGAAAAAACTTCTATTATTAGTCATGTGACTACTGGCACCAGAATCTATATACCAGGTATTATCAGAATATTTTTCATTTACATTGAAACAAATATGTGTTTCATTAAAATTTTCTTCATCGTCTGTATCATCCACATCATTTTTCACTACACTAGCTACATATTTCGATTTATTTTTATAATGGTAGCATTCTTTTATCAGATGACCTTTCTTCTTACAGTATTGACAGAATTTGACATTTTTATTTATTTGCACTTGTGAAGAGCTTGGATACCACCGTTTCGGGTCTGCTTTTAATGCTATTTCACTCTTCGAATTAGCATTTTCTTTCCGTCTGTAGAATTCTTGTATTAATTTACCTTTCACGACTTCTAATGTCAAATCACACTCGGGTCTTCCTTCTAGGGCTATAACTAAACTCTCATAGCTTTCCGGTAAACTGCAAAGTAATAAGGCTACTTGCAAATTATTAGCCAAGTTTTCCCCTAGTGTACTCAGTTGATTGATAATATCCATCATATCAGATATATGTTTTTCCATATCACCATTTTCTGGCATTAACATCCGACAAAGTCTTTTTAGGAGGAACACTTTATTAGTTAAGGTAGGTTTTTCATACTGTTTTCTCAAACTTTCCCATGCCTCTTTTGCCGTTTTACAATTACGGACATGTAATACTTGAGTATCCTCGATCAGCAAACCGATTGTAGCCCGAGCTTTAGCATCTTTTGTAGTCCAAAGTTCAGTTTGTGGATCTGGAGCAGAATTTTCGATGACACTCCATAATTCTTCTCTCAGCAAAAACAGTTCAATCTTATATTTCCAGATTTGATAATTGCTTCCGTTGAGTTTTGTAATACAAAATTTGCTGCTATCCATTTTACCTGTTCAACAGTTTTACTGATCTGATGATCTATGTTCCAGCTATCTAACTTACAAGATTTCTGAGCCCATAACCTGTTAGCAGAGTATTTTTATATATACTTATAATGTTCTGGATAGTTATTATGCACCTTATATGAATATTATTTATTGACATATAAGTACAAAATTATTGTGACACAACATTGACACATAACACACATAAAATACATAGTGATCATAATAATATGTGAATAACGATCTATTCGTCGCAGATCTCTTCAGATAATCCAACATAGTGTTCTAGTTATACTTCGTTTCTGGCTCAGTATAGATATTCTGTGAATGTTGGCGATGGTTTTTTCAAAAAACTCTTCTGCCTGTCTCATTCCTGCGAGTTGTTCCACCATTCTTGAGATTTGGTTTGCATCCATGATTTGATACTTGTCTTTTGTATAACTTTCGCAATACAAAAAGTTCTGGGCCATTCAGAGCTTTGTTAGCTCCTGCTCGGGCAAGTGAGTCTGCCTCTTCACTGCCCTCGTACCCTGTATGTGCTGGTACCCATGCAAGCGATGTCTGCTGGTGTTTCCTCATCTTCCTGATCACAGAACCTGCACAGCAGTTCTTCAGCCAGACAGACCAATCGTACTCATTATATTTGTTGAGCCTACAATGCCCTGTGAGAAGTCTCACTAGTATTATCGTTGAGCCTCGTTTCTGGCTCAGTAGATAATCTGTGAATGTTGGCAATGTTTTTTAATAAACTCCTTTGCCTTTCTGATTCCTGGCGAGTTGTTCCACCATTCTTGAGATTTGGGTTGCATACATGATACTCGATACTCTTGTATAGCTTTCGCAATACCAAGATTACCAAGTGAATCTGCATCTTCGTTTCCCTCGTACCAATTATGTGCTGGTACCAAAGCTACAGTCAGTCTGTTCTGACTGCCCAATTCATTCAGGCTTTTAAGCAGTCCCAGACTAGTATTGAGTTAACTTGCATTGAGTTGACTGCTTTGATTGCCGCTTGGCTATCCGAGTAGATTGCATTGGTTTTCTCTTTAAATTCTTGCCTTATCAATTCTTTTACGCAATTAGGTATTGCGATAATTTCTGCTTGAGAAATCTTCGCTTATTCACCTAAGCTCAGTGAGATTCTTGTCTTTGGCTTGGCCCCATAAAATATCAGCTCCTGACTCTTCCGCAGTTTTGGAACCATCCGTGTAGACAGCAATAATAGGAGGTCCTTCCTTCCATACCTCTCTGTCCGTTATATTTATTTTGAAAGTTGTTTCAACGCTATATTTTGGAATTATGCCTTCTGTTGTCATTCCCATGATGGGGTCGCTTTCCAACTCTTCATATAGCTTCCTATAGTTTTTACAGTGCGCGTTGCTTATGGATGCTTGACCCTTGGACAGTCTACTCACAACTGCTCTGGTTTCGCCTTGAATGTATATTTGAAGTGGTGGCAAGTTTTAGAGCACTTCTGAAGAGGCTGTTGGAGTGGTTATCATTGCACCAGTGGTACTCAGGCAAGCTTGCCTTTGAATGACACTGATCATTCGAATAACTTCAGACTGTTAATTGTGTCTTTGGCCACCAAACTACCGACCCATATACTATCATGGGCCTAATGACACTGGCATAGAGCCATGTGGTCATTTTTGGTTGCAGGCCTCAATTTTTCCGGACATTCGTCTGCACAGATTGAAGGCTACTGTACTGTTGATTCCATGTTAACTTATGGTGAAAGATGTCTCCTAAGTATTTTGCCTCTAGGGCAAACGGAATTCCTATACCCCGTTAAGTTTTCCAGTATACTCTCACTTTAGTGAAATTCACTATAGTGGTTTTATGAGGGTTCACTGTGAGTTCCTCCTCTTTACACCACTTGTCTATTATGTTTAGAGCGGTTTGTATGAGCTGCGAAACCGCAGATACCTATAGCGATAACCGCTAGGTGATCGGCGTATCCTAAGCAGTAATAACATTTGGATAATAGCCTTTTTATCAGTTCATCCATTAGAATGGCCCATAGTCTAGGGGCGATAATACTCCACCCTGTGGGTATCCCCTATCTGCTCTAGCTGTCAGTGTTGTTTCGCCAATTGTTGAATTGTTGATATGATAACCCTGTTTTTCAAATTGGCATTTATCGACTGGCACAGAAGTAGTGGTACTCCTTTCCTTGCTATCCTAATCAACCTCTATGTTTACGTTATTATTCATCGAGAAGAAAAAAAAATTTACTCCCACGACAGGAAAAAAATAACCTTCCGGGGTAAATAAATGGGCTTCAGCAAGATCCGTGCAATCCAAGTAATCAGTGATTTTTTTTATACTCTGTGATAGAAAAAAATTAAACGCAATGACATTTTGAGGTAAATCATTGAAATAATATACTCCGAGTAATACACATACATACAATAATTTTGACGATTACACAAAAATAGAGTGGACCTATACTATATATCCGCGAAACATTTTAGCTACCTCAAGATTATCTTGCCTCGACCGCAAACAGCCTCGGCGATGAAAATTCTTTCGGTACGCTGAAGGCATCCTTATCATTTGTATACATTGTTTCTCAATCATCTTGATCACTTACAAGTTGTTTGTCACTCGAAAAAAAAAAATAGCTAGAGGGAGCAATCAACATTTTCATTTCGACAGTTTTTCCAGATTGGGAGGAAGTTGTTTGCCCCTCGCCAAAACTTAGCTAGAGGGAGCAGTCAACATTTTCATTTCGACACTCTTTCCAGATTCGGAGGAAGATTTCGCCCCTTTACGTTGCTGGGAGTGTAACGTCAACTTCACCAGCAAGCACTACCTATACGCCCACCTCTTCCATCACATCAGACAACCTAGCGTCGTGCTCGAACGCGTCTCTCTGCCCCCCCTGAAGATCACCCTCAAGAACAGGAGCGGCAACAGCTTCGAAATTGTGAGTCCACCGCCTAGCGAATCTCCGCTGATAACCACTCCCGAAGTGAGCAACCCGGCGAATAATACATCCAATCTGGCCGAGATAAAACAGGAAGAGGAAGCAGCGCAGGAAGAGCAGCCAGCTTCGTCTCCACTCGCACAGGAAACAGACGAAGGAGGGGAAGAAACGAACGGAGGAAGGGAGGTGGGAGCAGGCAGCGAGGACCAAATCCTGTTCCCGCCGGCTTTCACTAACGTCGAGGAATTCGGATCAAATCAAGGTAGGTTTGATCTTCGATGTTATTTGCTCCACAGCTCTTTGGCCCTCATGATATCATTTGATTTATCAACAGTACAAAGTTATAGAGAATCAGATCCCAGCTATCGCGAATAGAATAGCGATATGCGCAGTTTATACTCTGTGCTGCTAAGAGAAGCCTGTGTGATGGACCCAGAATCATAGGAGATAGATGGAAAGAGATAATTGCAGAGATCCGTCTCTCCCAACTCACATTCTTCTCCATCATCGCATGATTCGCATTGGCGTAGCCTAACAGCACAAACTAGTAAAAACTGTGCATACTGCTCATACATGTGTTCGCAATTGGATTATTCTGTTATTACCTGAACCCGTTCGACCTCATCCACAGGTTTCAAACCATTTTCGTCATTATAGTAAAGTAAGTCACTCATCTTAAACTCAACTTTGGCTCTCAGCCACAGATGCCTACCACTCAAAGTGACCAATGACATCCTTCTCAGCTGAATATTCATCACATAGTAAATTAAATTACAGTCACGTGGCTCGACGAAAATTCCTCAAATCACGATTCTGAGATTCTTCCTTCTCAAGAAAGAATTCAGTTCGACACTAGTTGACTATGTGTTGCCCGCACATAGATTATTTGTTGCACCCTGTCTCTTGACGATTCTCAACACGCAGACGCATCTTGAATCATGACCAATGCATATGTTTGGAAAAAACGGATTCATGCCAAAGCTCGCAGCAACATTCAATAGGTTCATTCGGGTTCCGATTTCAGAACTGTTCAAGAATCGTTCTCAAACTGCGTAGAACTAGTACGCAGTCGTTTCGAATCCTAGGACTGTTTCAGAACGGGTCACAAATTATGGAAACCCGAACGCGGCAGACGAGAACCTCTGAGAACATAACCACTATTCAGAATTCGCGGAACCTTTTTTGTCAACAACTATTTCTTATTCAACAAACCCAACTAATATGTTATTTACACATACACATACAACCTGTTCTTCCTTGGTTACATGTGCAAGTTGAAACTTCGAAATCAATGCTCGTATCGTAATGAAAATCTGCCATCACTTGTGGTCCAGAACTCCGAGAGTAGTTTATGATGACTCTAATGTCCAGAATAATCTGAATAATTCAACATTCAAACCATTTCAAACTGATGAGATGTTTATTCTGAATTAAAAAACTTAAGCCGAAACACGCACGCGTGAAACTCAACGTTGTGATTGGTCTACAAAGCTTGCCTATGTCTGTTATCGGGGCGTTTTGAATACGTGCACCTAATATCGGTCGCCTTTCCTTCCAGTTCCAGGCTCGCCCTCGAGCGACGCGGGCACCTCCACCTCGACGGATCGACCGACGGACACAGCCACGGACGGCCTCATCCACAGCCACCCCAACAGTGACAGCAACAGCAATGCCTCCGAGTACGGTGGCGTGCCAGGCGCCGAGCCCACGCCGCCGCCCGAGCCCACCATCGACTACCCGAAGATCCGGATCAAGACCACCGGGCTGCTGAAGGAGCAGACGTCGCTCACCATCACCGAGATCACCGACGACAATCCGGACGGGGATCCCGGCTTCAGTGAGTAGTCACATTATCCTTAGTCATTTTTCCTCGAATCTAACCAGACAAACCAGGTTAACTTCATGATGACGTTACGGTAACTTTATCATGGCGTCACGGGTGACTTGTGAAGCATGTCAGTTTATCAGCTGTTTCTATTTATAGTTCGGATTTAGTAGTAATACAAGTCGTAAGATCAAAAATCCATTATGGGTCGGCAGTGTGGTGGCCGGGCGGCATGGAGGTAAGTTACACGTGGCATCGCCATTCGGTAACCCCTTCGTATTTTTGAATGTAACACGCGTGCTGGACGTCCGTCTGGCGCTATTAAGTGCTACTTCACACCAATAATAAGAAAGAAGCCATATTTTTTCTCAAAGTGGGTGAAATAAAGGATGAATATTAAGGAAAAGAAGTTTAGTTATTACAAAATTGAAAGAAATTTGAGTACCACAGTAATGAAGCTAATAGTTATTTCGCTATTTCTCTATCACCCAATCCTACATTGTTTTTCACACATTTGTCAAGCGAATGCGGTGCAATTGGATTTTTCTTCCCCCATTTAGCTTTCGCCGCTTAGAATCTCCTACCTGGAGAGAAAATGAAAATTAGTGAAATAAGGTACCTCAAAATCTCTTTTCATATTTTCATACCTATATATTTAGCGTATGTGTGATAATTTTCCATTAATGCTTCTATAGCTGGTTGGAAGTTCCAAGAAATTAGAGGTGGCACAACATAACCTGAACTTTGGTGAAACCATGTGAAACTAACCTCATTCTCTACCACGATGATATAAGTAATTCAATTTGTTGATACAATCTCACATTATAATGATATATCATTGATATTACTTACATCAGCTTCATCTTTATTCTTGAACTTGCAACGCAACAAATTATTTTGTTTCAAATAACAATAGCCATCTGGTAAGCACAATGAATCCATCATAAATACTACCTTTGTAACTGACTACTAATAAATAATGAATCAGTGCATTTTTGGAGTTTCTGCGTATGTTCTTCAAGCGCAAAGTAGCACTCGATAGCGCCAGACGGACGCCCAGCCCGCGTGTTACATTCAAAAATACGAACAGGGTGCGAACGTGCTTCCGAATGGCGATACCACGTGTTACTTACCTCCATGCGGCCGGGCGTAGAAACCAGTACGAAGGTCGGAACCTAAGTAAGGTCCAGAGGATGGCATGCCTAGCAATAACAGGTGCAATGAGGACAACGCCAACGGCAGCATTAAAAGTAATGCTGGGGCTACCACCGCCCCAAATCTGGATAAAGAAGGAGGCGATGGCGGCCCACTCGAGGATGCGGGACTCAGGAAACTGGGCAAATGAGGGGACATTAACAGAACATGCAGAAATAGCAGAGTGGGTGGAGCTGGAGATTCCTATCTCTACTCTCAGAGTGAATAAAGTGCAGGACAGGCTGAGATGGAATAGGAAGTTCAAACTTACTATTCCAAGCAGAGAAGAATGGAGAAACAATACAGTGGAGTTTCGCCCAGGAAGCTTAGTATGTTACACAGACGGATCCCGTCGGACTGACAAACAGGCCTCGCGCGCAGGGATCTATCTCGAAGAAAGAAACATACGAGAAAGCTGGCATAACATCTGACATGTTGGTTCTTAGCTGTAATACATGCCAAAAATATGCAAAGAGCAACTCAAGAGAGCCATTAACACCTCATAAAGGGCCTCAACTACCATGAGAGAAAATTGGCATTGATTTTAAGTCAATGGCTAATCAAGACTTCATAGTCATCATTGATTATTTCAGTACCTAAATTTACAATTGTGAACAAACTACACAACAAAACAGCCCAAAGTGTAACAAAAACCTCGAAAATTACATTTGCCATACAGGGTCCAGCAATGGTTATTTTTTCTGACAATTTTCTGGGTTTGGAAACCAATAGTCGTGTTAAACAAATCCGGACCTAATGATTATGCAATTCAAGTGGGAGATGCAGAATATCGGAGAATCGGACATTAACTCAAACCATTGGTCACAACTGCTCCTTCTAAGGATGTTTGCAACCAGGAAACTACTGAAGTTCATTCAAGATGAAATATTCAATAAGACAAGTATATAGTTATCCTAGCACAATGCTGAAGGAGAGTCCAATCAAGAGAAGCAATAATACAGGCTTAATACAGGCACAGTGCTGATGGAAAATATAAGTATCACTCAGACAGTGGCGCCAGATATTCCTGGGATCACAACGTGACCACAACCTACTGTGCCACAACCCATAGTGGGCGAACTATTCACAACTTCGAGGAATTGAAAAAAAAGGAAGGACCAGTGAGGCCGGTGTTGAAGAAACAAAAAGCGAAATATCTAATGGAAAAGCGCAACATTACTAAAATTTGAATATGCGCCTTATCTGACAGTTTTTTTCCGGTCATTACCACTGACATAACTAGACTGCTAATGCCATAAGAAAGAAGCTATGCCACTCACGATATTGAAATTTGAACTGGAGAACATAAATCATGTGCATTCAGGACCTGTCATATTTTTTACTCATATACTAATGTTTCCGAACACTAAGAAACGTTACTTGCTGTCATGAACGATAGTTTGGAGGTTCCTGCACATTGAGCAGATGCGTTTTCAGAATTTCGGTGTAAGTATAGCGGTATAGACCGGTAGTTATGTCAGTGGTCATTGGGGGGTAAGCGTTATGTATCAATTTACAGCATTAGCTACGCAAAACACTTGATGATCTTTACATGAAGAAAAAGTGCGATTATAAAAAAAATCGCTATAGTGCAAAACGAAGTTGAAAAGCGCAATTATTGCGCTTTTTGCGCCTCATCGGCAACACTGGAAAGGACCTGTGATGTATGGCTCCGTGACTCGGACGAATAGTCACGGCAAAAGGAGACCTGTCGCTGTCATCAGTGACAACTGGTGTGCTGAAGCTGGCTGAAGTCAATGAAGTCTACGATCTACGATGGACAAAAATGAGTAAAATGACCGTTGGACAGAGACAGTGACGCAATACGGGTGACCATCTTAGATCTTAGCGGTTTTGTCGCTAAATCTAGTTTGTAGGGTAGGGTGAGGGCAAGGATTATGGGTAAGGGTAGGTGAATGCGACATTTCAACCTGATTTGCGACGTGTCGGAATTCTAGCGTTTTCAACATAGTCATAGCGGTCTATATGAAGATATTTTGATCACATGAATTGTTGACAAATATGAATAATTCACATTGAAACATTCGACTAACCTACTATTCTTTGCATTCGAGACGAAGGGATAAGCACTAACACTAAGCAGAGAAGAGAATGACAGACGACATGCTTTGTTTTCATTTTCATCATTCATCATTTGCCCCACTTCTGCCACTTTTGAATGATATTTTGCATATTCGATATGGTTTCCAAATTTGTGATGCTTGTGAAGATTTGATTTTGCCAAAATCAGTATTGAAATAACATATATTGGAACCAATAATGTGACTTGCAATGAAGTTGCATATCATGTATGATGTTGAATTAGAAATTTGAGTTGATACACGTGGTTTGGCAGGTTTATCAATGTGTGATTAGATCAAAGACATACCTCAAATACGATGGAGAAATATATGTTGTGATTCACCAATGTATATACCTACACTGAACAAAAGTCGGTATTGAATACCAAACGTTTAGTATAATAGGCGCCACTCGCCAGCCACTATTACCAATACAAATATAGTATGATACTTCCATCATTCTTATAGTATAGAATGATACTTACAGTATAGTATGATACAATTTTTTTCTGGAATTATTTGATGAATGTTGTGACTGGCGCCTATTTTACTAAACGTTTGATATTCACTACCGATTGTCCGATTATTTCTCTTAGTGTACGTAATAGAGCCGAATGAAAATGTATAGGAAAAGAACCTTGGCTACCGAAAATTGACATCTGAATTCCTTCAAAAAAAAAACATTCAAAATGTCAAAGTGCATGCGCATTCTCATTTCATGTTCACGTAAGATTCAAATTTAAAATTTAAACGGAATTTTCATAAATGACATTCAATAATTTTTAAATTTTCATAAAATCTCAAAAATGTGCAAAATATAGGTGTCAATTTGATTCATACCTAAAAACAATATATTATACTATAATACTACTCTAGCTATATAGCATTCAATGAATAATAATATCTTGGTGAAAACAATAACTACATCATTTTTAGGATTATCATTATCTCAATCCTTGTAATATGGATGTGCTTTCTACTAATTACATATTCTTTATTTAAATTGTCATATATTACTACTATTTTTCCCTGTTGTGAAGCAGGAGATTTCTTTTCAGATCGCAGCTCGGATAACTCCAATTTGTGGCCTACCCCATCCCTGGAGGATCCATTGAAATTGCCGGATGGCGATGACAACATTCTATCGCTTTTCAACAACAATGACCGAGCCAAAGATCTTGGCTTTCATTCAAGTGACAATGAATTCATTTCTCTTGATAGATTGGAGGAACGAAATCGTGGAACAATGGTGGGTAAATCAACAAGTAGCTTTCTATTCTGGATACATCATTATTCATATATTTTCCAGCAATTATACAATCCCAGCTCACAAAACTCTTCTGGAAATCCTCTGGATAGTCTTACTGGCTTACCGATGCAAGCACTGGCTCAGCAAGTGTCAAGATTACAACCTACTGCAAATGGAATGCACCAACAGAATGTACTGATCAACATCCAACAGTTTCCATCTGGACCTCCACAACCTACTTATCAGCCACCACCTATGTATTCTTATCCACAGCCTATGCATCAGCCCTACCAATACCAGTAAGTGTATTTCTATTCCTTTTTATACCTGTAGGATTGATTCCCTTTCATGAATAAAAGATTCCCTTTCAGTCCCAAAACATTTGTATTATCAACAAATAATGTATCAACAGTACATTTCATACATCATTTATATGATTTTGATAAGTAATCCTTGGTTTTTTAGGATGCTCCATTCACCAATGAAATTTTGGTTCAGGAGTATAGTTTTTGAGCAATAGAATAATGAAAACAAATTATATATCAGTTCTTGAAGCACTCTGTTTTCAAAAGCATCCATAATCATGTGAGATAGAGCTTGTAGCTCTGTTTCTTAAAATTTACTGAGTTCATCATACTTATAAAAATCAAAATTTCAAAGGCCTGTTAGTTATGATAATTTTACCCATAATTCCTATGATCTCCAGCATTATGATAAAAAATATACTTAGGGTTGTGTTTGACAATTTTTTGCCATCTTGGACCATTTATATATCAATAGATCTCTCAATTTAGCTTGAATATGCTTAGTGGTCCATATAATTGTGTACATAAATTCCCAGACATGATATAGGTCTACTGGCAAAATAAGCAGGAACTTTGCACTTCCCCTAATGAACATACCGGGTGGCTACGGAAGTATTGCCTACGAAATATCTCAGTTATTGTATGAAGTAGGTTTGTGAAATTTGGAGCGTCGATATAATGACATAAGAGCTAGAATTTGAGCATATTGACATGTCGAAGTTAACTTCCGGTCTGACCGGAAGTAACATCAACTTTCTTATTTTAAATGGAAACCCTATTTTTTTTTCTTTTCGCTTTATTCAGCATTCAATTCCCTTTCTAATGACATATCACAAGTTGGTATCTAACCAGAAACTAGATCAGAAAAAAATTATTATTGAAATTCACCTAGTAGGCCGTGGAAGCAAAATGAAAGCCAAAAATTGAAAAGTTGGCTATGGAAACCATACGTCACTTGATAACAGTTGCTACTACTGTGATATTTTATTTTCATTCGTCGGCGTTATTTTTTTTTTCGATAAATCTGTTTTTTTGTTATTTGAAGAATAATAATTGGATTTTTTGGTATTTCATTTCAAAGAATGACTTTCTATTATATCATTAGAAAGGAATGGTTATGCTGAATAGTACAGGCAAGAAAAAGTTGTATGTTCCTATTTAAGTTATGGACCTACAGACGCCTACAGAGTATTGTCTTTTTCACAATTTTTCCAATATTTTTTTGGCGGCTTTTTATAACGCCGACGAATGAAAATAAAATATCACAGTAGTAGCAACTGTTATCAAGTGACGCATGGTTTCCATAGCCAACTTTTCAATTTTTGGCTTTCATTTTGCTTGCACGGCCTACTCGGTGAATTTCAATAATACTTTTTTTCTGATCTAGTTTCTGGTTAGATACCAACTTGTGATATGTCATGAGAAAGGGAATTGAATGCTGAATAAAGCGAAAAGAAAAAAAAAATAGGGTTTCCATTTAAAATAAGAAAGTTGATGTCACTTCCGGTCAGACCGGAAGTTTACATCGACATGTCAATATGCTCAAATTCTAGCTCTTATGTCATTATACCCAATCAGCACAAGTACGTCTTATGGACGTTTTAAAAACGTCCACTCTGGACATTCAGGACGTTTTGGGGACGTCCATTTCCGGACGACGGACGTCTTATGGACGTTTTGAGGACGTCCATTGTTACTAATCAGGATGTTTTGGGGACGTCCAGTTTAGGTCCAGACTAGGACCTTTTTGGTATGAAAAATGGACGTATTGAGGACATTCAGACAATATTGATTATTGATTTCCTGACCCATCTGAAGAGTGAAATACTTGAATATTAGTTAACATTTATTCGCAAACAATAATATGAACAGGAATTCAGGTAGTTGTTTCAATTTCACTCTTCACTATCGTATATCAGCAGCTGCACCACTAAAAACGTCGCGTGATTCATCCAGGTACGCAGGCGCGATGATGTCTTTTTCTGATTGACAGCCTTCTGTTGTCTTCTTCACTGGATCTGTAAATAATGATAATATTCAGTAACATATATTCTGTGAATGCCATAAACCATAAACACACACCCACTTTCAACGTGTAGTAGTCAGTATAGCGCAATACTTCATTATTTTTATTTCATTGAGAACTTATTCCAAACATAAACTGATTCTTAGGTAGGTACCTATAACCTCTATGAACCTTGCACGAATTATAATATGTTTTGACTATATACAAAATATAAAATGATGGAAATAGGATTAGGTAGAGCTTTGCATGAGATCAAATTATTCAGAAAGGTAACTAATGTTTTCAACTCCAAATTTGATGTTCTTCCTCAAGCATCTTCAAGCGAATGAAAATAAAACGATAGCGTCGATAGCCATACTTGCCTTCATGCTGCTGTTAGCACAAATAAACATCTCGATGGAAGATGGAACTCGAGATCGAAGTTCACCAGTTGATAGATGATATCCGCAAAGATTTCACTTATTCACTGCTTTTACAGTCAAATAACCCGAAAAGTTCAGAATGTCCTTGGACCTGAATCACAGTTTAATCGGCACTCGGCAGTGGTCAACTGACGGACGCCATCTTTCCATTTCCCTTTTCCATCATCTTACCTGTGATCTTACGTTGTCGTTCCACGTAACACGCACAGTGTTGCCGGATGAAAATTTGTCGGAGCAGTAGATGGGTGGGGAAAAAACAGTAGATCATCAAAACTGAACAGAAGATTTTGATAATCATCACAATTTGCTATCATAAATGAAAAAACATAGTCACCTATATAATAAACAAGAAAAAATAATGTTCGGTCTCTATACCTATCAAAAATCGAACGAAGAATAACAAAAAATAATGAAATAAAAAATGAAATTTATAAAAACCGCAACCAGATTGGAAATAAAAGCTAATTTTTACTAATCAGACTGAATATGATAGTTGCAGTATATTTTTATCATACATCTTTTTACTGTGATGTTCCATTAATTTTTCATTGTTGCATATTAGGTAGTTACGTCATATCAGAACATGACCAATTAGACCATTGCCTTGAATAGTTGAACAGTAGAACGGAGACAAAAACAGTAGATCTACTGCTAAAATAGTAAGTCTGGCAACGCTGAGCACGCATGCGTTCTACGGTTGCTTTACATATTCAGTGATTCAATCAAATCTTATTATGAAAGCGCGGCTTGTATGAATACTTCAGTGTGGGTTTGAGAATGGTCAAACTGATGTATAGGTATTATGTGATTGAAGTAATATAATTCAACATAACTATATAAGTAGGTACAAATCAGTTAAAATCATAAATATCTCAATTTCATAATATTAATAATAAATGAAATTCAATATATTGATACAGCTGATATATAATATATTTTTTGACATCATTCATGTCCATATTCAATTCAATAATTCTAATTTTAAAATTATTAATATATACCTACCTACTTATATTAATTTAAACTGATATACCGTGAGAGTCTGTGAATTGGACGTTTTAAAGACGTCTTTTTCTGGACGTCCGGAGTATGTCCAATAATGGACGTCTTAAAAACGTCCATAAAAGGTCCTGGACGTTCAGACCAAAAATGGACCTAAAATGGACGTCTCCGGGACGTCCCGTGCTATCTGGGTATCGACGCTCCAAATTTCACAAACCTACTTCATACAATAACTGAGATATTCCGTAGGCAATACTTCCGTAGCCACCCGGTATATACCTCCAAAAATGCATAATAATGAAGTTCAATCAAAATGCAGTTCATTGTTCCATATCTGAGGAAATACCAAGTGTTTAGAATTCGCCACATTGCCGCATCTACAATAAAATTCAAAAATAGTAACAGAGATCCATAGGCGCCAATATACAGGGGGTTCCTTAATGATTTGGTAATATTCAAGGGGCCGATTCTTCGACCCATTTCAAGAATAAAACTTTTGAGATACAGGGTGTCAATGTTGAAAATATGTATAGATTATTTTTTTGTCCACCCTGTATAGCTTTTCGTGATGGCAAAATTCAGTCTGCTATGTGAACTGAATCGGTATGCAAATTTCAAAATGTTACTTACCGTGGTTATCAAGTAATGGATGCCCTGAATGGAGTATTCAGACATTGAAATTTGAAGTATGGTCTCGTTTTTTCGTTTTATGTCGAAAACGAAGCGTTTCATGGAATATCAACAGGAGGATCTTTTTTGTACATGATTAAATCATATACGTATTAATAAACAATACGGATCATAACGGGTGCCAGGATGAAGCCAAAAATATGAAAGAAATGAATATCCATAAGGATTTGGTGGCATGATACGTAGTCATCAAAGACATGCGTTTCGGTGGACAATGACGTTTACTAGCCTTTCAATCAAAGCAGTATGTGTCTGATCGTATCTCACTTTTCCTTATGGATAGTCATTTGTCTTCAAAAATCGGCTTCATGTTTCGCTATGGAAACAGATAGAGATTATCCGTATTGATTATTAATACGTATATGGATTAAATAGCCTTTAATGACATCGTATAAAATTTGAAATTTTTTCGTCATTGCTCACTTTCAAGTAAAATATAAACAATAAAATTCCCGTAATGGTGCCACTGGTAGAGAAAATGAAAATTTTTGTACATCAGAAAATGCACCTTGATGCATAAAAGACGTGTACCAAATTTCATGAAGATGTATACAAAATTGTCTGTTATTACCTAAACTGAATATTTTTCAAAACTTCATCACCCTGTATCTCAAAAGTTAAGACTTTCAGGACATACGTTCATATGAAGTTTTCTTCTTAAAATGAGTCAAAGAATCACCCCCTTGAATATTAGTCTTTGAGGAACACCCTGTATATAGGCTGAGTGACAAAGAAAACCCCAAGCCATAGCGGCGATATCAATTATCCGATTTTGAAAATCAAAAAAGCAGATTATACTACCAGTAGACTCACAATTTCTTCAAGTTTCAACTTTGACGACAGCGACTGTCAACTTTTTCTTTCAAATGGTACTACAATTTATGTTTTTCAATTGTTTTTCTAGTTGAAATTTTTTTCTGAATATAGTGATGCCTGACAAGTATACTTTTAGTCAAATAAATAATAAATGCTCCCTTGTCTACAAATTGATTTTTTCATGAAATTTTGAGATGTATCATTGAATGTGGCAGTACATGTCACTGAAATTAATGTAAATTTTTCATTTGTCAAATATTTCAACATCGCATGTGATTTTAAAGTGGGCTTTGAAAAAAACTTGAACATTCAAACTGATCGTTGTTGAAATGAAATTCACACAAACTGATTAGGTACCAAATGTATAATTCATTATTGAGGTATGGTTGAATCAGGATAGTCCCCTTATTTTGTGTTTCTATAACCTATGGAATTTAATGTACAAAAATCTGGAACACCTTGTGTACATATAGGTACTAAAATATACTATTATCTTCAAAATTCTGCTTGAATTGAGAGATTACTTGCATCGATTTTACACCACCTTGTATCTTCTAGCGAATCGGGCACCATACGCACATATATTACATCTCACTTCAAAATGATGCTTGAATTGATATGAAATTAATGAGAAAAAAGTCACCTGTGTAATAATATTCACTAACATTCATGAATATTTTGTTAGCCAAAGATTAGAGCTTCCTCAAGTTGCATCCAAAGTTCTCATCTTCATCATCAATGCAATGTTGTTGGAATGAACAAAAAATCTGTAGAGCTCATTTCTCTCCTAGTTTTTAATTACAGTGTGTCCATTTAGTGCGTAATTCTTCGATATCTCGAAAGTCATAACCTATAGAGAAAAACTTTGGATAAAAAACTTTTTCAGCTGCTAAAGTTGCTCATTTCAAAAATATTTTATATTTATATATTTTTTTACAATAGGAACATTCACAGGCTCTCCAATTCTTATTTTTTTTTTCCGAAATACACTTATATTTGTGTAATGACCTGTCAAACATCGCCACAATCAAATATATCTTGAATTTATTTGAAATTTTGCTGAATTCCCTCCCAAAACCCGCGTAGTAAAGACTTCAAGTTGAATGAAGATTTGGATTGTGAGAATAACGACAATAAAATTGGCCCAAATTTCAAAAAATTGTCCTAATTCTCGCAATCCACATCTCCATTGTTTGTATTGTAGAAGTTGTTTTGAAGACAGGCGTTGCTTTTGGCATGTTTGTTTGTTTCACATGGGTACATATTATTTAAATCATAAGTAACAAGATTACGGAATATTTCAAATTTGGACAATGCACATATCACAAAAATTCCTGAATGATCTATGTAGAACCTCGAATGTCATGTGGCAAGCAATATTCCCACACTCAAATCAAATAAAGGAACCATGCCTTATAAGTAGCCCTGAGATAGTGATAAACATAAGGAAATTACTCATAACTTGAAAACGCCGCAACCGATTTTTGATTTTTTCTTCAGCGATGAAAAGGCGAATGATATCTGATCTAATGATAATCCGCAAAATTACTGGATTGGTGTACGTGAGACCTTGCTACTACTGTATGCCAAAAATATTTTCGAGATTTCAATAAATGAATATACCATACCCAATTCAATATTACCCTTTAATAGTAGTAAAAATGGGTTTATCAATTACAACTTGGCAACGCCGCAACCAAATTCAATTTTTCTTACAGCGATGTAGAGCTAAACCTTTGTGGAATAAATTTCGAATAAAAAATACTGGGTGTTCCATTTGAAAAAACTCGTCTCCGCGAGTTGTCCCGCTTTTATGAAACACCCAGTAATGTTGAAAATATTTTTGAAATGAGCTACTTTAGTAACTAAAAAGTTTTTGCCTCGAAGTTTTTCTCTATAGATTATGGCTTTTGAGATATCGAGAAATTACGCACTAAATGGACATACTGTATAGTGGGTGGTAATTCATAATGTGATACGCTGTCCAAGGACATGGAGCAAAATGAAGTGCTTTGAAAAAAGATTACTTGCATCGATTTTATACCACCTTGTATCTTCTAGCAAATCGGGCACCATACGCACATATATTACATCTCACAAAATTCAGAAAAATAAGCTCTTCTGAACATACCACAGGCCCTCTTACAGGCCGCCCAACCCCATGTACTACCCGCCCGCCCCTGGCTACCCACCCCAACACATGCCACCGCCGCCCCAACCACAGCTCGGTCCGCCCATGAACCAGCAGATGGGCCAGCCTCCGATGGGCGGGCAGCAGCCGATGGCCCAGAACCAGGGCCCGCCCACCTCGCAGCCGCAAGGTATGGGCCAGCCGATGCAGCAGCAGGGGCAGCCCTACAGGCAGCCGATGCCGCCCCGGCAGATGGCGCCGCGGCAGCAGCAACCCGTGAATAGGATGCCCAACGGGCCTAGGCAGCCCATGGGTGAGTGCTACTTGCTGTTGTACCAAACAGATGATTACAGTGACGATTGCATTTTTTATTATTATAAATATCAGAAGATATTTACTTTAAAATTATGTATACAGAGAGTCCCTAATATACTCTAGTATTTCAGTTATAAAATATGCGATTTTCTTGGAATTCTGGTAATGATTGTATGTAAGGAACATTAAGTATTTGGCATAGTGAACTTCATGATTAACCATAGGCAGGCGATGTTTGGGAGATAAAAGGGCTATTTTTTTCTGAGGAAAATTAAATTAGGGCTTGTTTCTTTCAGATTTAGAATCATCTTCTCCAAAACCAAAATCCATTTGGTTTCTACTTTTTTGTTCATTTTCTATATCACTTGAGAACACAATTTTTTATGATCACTTGGACCACATGAAAGGGAATTAATATGTTATTGAATATTTCATGTTTTCAGACAAATTTAAGCTTTGAAATTTTATTGTTTTTGGTTCTCAATGAATAGGTTATTGTTTTTTATAATACATACTCATTTCAGCATCAGTTATTCATCATTTTCATATCCAAAAACAGTACACAATAATGTGTTGAGTTTTACCAAGAATATTCACTTGAAATTCGGACTATTAAATCTCACCTCAAAAAAGTTATGTCTGAACCCACTCGGTACGCCCCTGTGAGAGTTATACAGTGTGTCCATCTTTGCATGAATACACGATAATATCTCAAATTCTCAATCAACAAAATAGCATTTCGCGCTTTAACTATAATACTTTTATTGAATGTGTTTCTTGTTATCAATGAAGTTGTTAAGATATGAAATTGGGGAAAATGGTTTGTTATGGAATTTACCAATATATATACCAGTATATAGCACTTGTGCGTAATATGAATTCTCCAAATCTTGCTATGTATTATATGAATTATTCCGCAGTTTGGTATTTTTTCGACTAATTTCAATAGACTAAATAATGACGTTCAATATGTCAAGAGCAGTGCCCATCGTAAAACGTCGCGATTCTCTTCCAGGACAACGCCAGCCGCTGACACGCCCCCGCCAACCGATGACCCGCCCTAGAGGCGGCGGCGGGGCGGGCATGACGGCGCTTCGGGCGGCGCGGCCCCGCCTCCATGGCCCGCCCGTCAACGGCGTGCGGCCCGGCCACCAGATGGCGCAGGGCAAGCGGACGCCCGAGCAGCAGGCGCAGCTGCAGGCGAAGAAGAAGCGTTTCGACGACATGCTGGCGCCCGACAAGGACGACGACGACTGCCAGGTGATCTGCATGCAGCCGAAGAACATGGACGGGGGGCTGCCACAGATCGAGAGCGTGCAGAGTGTGCAGGTCAGTGTTGCCATTTCAGAATTTCAATTTGTACTAGAAGTCATTCCGAAATTGTACTAAATTCAAGTATAACCGTGTGAAGAAGTCCATATTGCTCAAAGTGGAGTGGTAGTGTTTAAAGGAAGAAGAAATCTCGAGAAATCATCTCCATGACGACATTTAATGGGTGAACAAAATTATGTTGCAAAAAGGGGGGACATATTCCGGGCTTATAATAGGCCCATCATCAGCCAAGGTTTAAAACATCCAACAAAAGTCTAAAATAGTAACAGGAATATGGTAATAGTTGTTATTACTTACATGAGGATGAAAAATGTTCTTTAAAGTTGTTGAATAATATTAAATTTAAATGGTAAACATATTATAGTATAAAGTATATATAGTATAATTAGGTAAACTAAACAGGTATTTTCTTTATTATCACCCCAAGAATCATTGTTGTTTATAATATTGTCTGCTCACTGATCCCGAATCTGTCTGCCTTGTCATTGTCGCTGCTGTACTGAAAACTGTCAATAGCTCATTTGTTTTGAATGAGCTCCTGACTATCGTGAATGAGAGGAAAGAAAGCTCTCTCCTCTTCCATCTTTCTTTTCAGTGCTTCCAACGTAACCATATTGAAATATAGAGAAGTCCTATAATTATTTCCTTGTCTACCATCTATTCAGCATCACTGAACTATTTTCGATGTCTATTTTTTTTCAAAACTACTCAACCACAGACATGAAATTCGATAGGGTGATGGTAATAAAGGAGGAGATATTTTTCTGGTAGTCCTGGCTTCTGGTTAACTTTGTGTGTGTCACAATTTTGTGTATCGTATGTTGATGCATACTGAATTGAAAGACTTTTAATATTGCAATTATATCTTATCAATTATTTCTTCTAGTGTTATAGGTTTTTCTACCTATATCAATTTTGATTCGTTTATTTCATTTGCTGTTGTTTATTTTCAATAGTTTTCCTATCATCTGACTGTTCTTCTAGATTCTAGTTAAGTAGATATGTCATTGTCTAGTTTTGTGCACTGTGCATTCAGTATATATTTTTTGAATAATTTCAATGTTAACTGCACTAAAAATAACATTATTTGTCCGAAAACGTGTCGTTTTCAAGATACAGGGTATTTAGTTTTCTCAAGTTCAGTAACGCCTGAAAAACGCTTTGGCAGATTTCAGTGATATTATCACTATTTGTTGATGTATCAATGAGTGTGGCAGATTAATACTCATAGAGCATATGTTTAAAAAAATTTGACACATCTCCTAGTCATCTGACATATCGTCATTGAAAATTTCAATTTCTAAACCTATTAAGAAAAGAAGTGTTCAACAAAAAAACAATTTTTTATACCTAAACTATCTTTTAGGTATACCTGTTTGTAATCCTAAATCTTCAAGAATTTCATTGGATTATACCTTTCAAATGAACAATTTCCGTTTATGGATTATGTTTTTAATGGATCACTTCACTGACAATTCTTTGGATAATGGGGTTCAATATACCAATCTTTATCGTCTCAGGTAAATTCGAGGTACCTACTCCATATTGAAAGGCTCTTTTATAGCAAGCAATATAATAATGCATACAAAAGTGTGTTAATGGGATCACATTATTAATCCTTCTTTGAATATTTGATATTTTATCTTTGGTGTGCAGTACAGAAATGTTTAATGTGTGAACTTTCCAAAATTGAGGATTTGTCAACCTGGACACAGATAATCACCTCACTTTCTGAAGGTATATAGTGTGTTGTCTGGCATAAAAGTTATGCGAGTCAATCGGGTGATTCATTTCACTAGTTCATCACCTGAAGAATCATCCTTGCTGTAGTATTGTGTTAGTGGAACTTCTTGTGTTTTTAAAATTCTGTGGAAATATTTCAACGTTTGTGAATAATCTTTCAATTACTATATGGATTTCTGTCGAGTAACGGACGAGTCGATCCAAAAAATGGTAACATTTATTTTTTAATTCACGTCTGTTCAAATTTCCATGGGGTAGTTCAATCATTTAAATTGTTTCAAAGTAGCGTACTTGATTATTTTCTCTCATTTTGTTCAATTGTTTGAATGAAATTTCCCATTAATTAGAAGAATTAGAAAAAATCTTATATCATGGGAATATTCCTTAGATTTTATCATATCAATGTGCTTAGTGGTAGGGAAAAGTGGCATAAACAACATCTTAAAAGTCTTGACCCGTTAGGGGATGATCGGGGGGGCGATGCCCATTTCAGTCCGAAAATTGGAAATACCAGGTAAGATGAATTTTAATGAGCTTCGAAGGATGTCTGGATAGATGTCCATTTTGGCCTACAACGAGAAACTAATTGAAAAGTAATTTACCTGATACTATATTGTTAGAGACGCCCATTGTTTGATTATTTAGTTCCACAGTAACGTTTAAACTGTAATAATCCAATGAAAAAGGTGGACAGATGGGTGAATCGGCTAAGTTGAGTGAACTCACAAGCGTACGCGGTGAAACACTTTTGGTGTTAAATCAGTTCGAAAGAACAAAATCGAAAATTAAATTCGGGAGAAATGAAGTGGAGATTTATCAAAGATAGGGGCAATGCCTATTTAAAGACTATGGGCAATTGTTCTGATCTGACAACATCGAGTCAAAACCATTCACATGGGACATAGTCGGAAAATGTCTTGCAACGGCAAATATTGAGTGCTATAGCACAGCTAAGAGGAAAGCTGAATCTGAAATGTGCGAAACCTGCAAAAATAATAAAAAAAGCTTTGTCGGAGCAACCAGAATAAGAATGTGTGAGGAAGAACATCTAATATGTTCGGAGGAAATCGCTGTCAGCATTACCCAAGTCATTCACAGAAGTCCACGCAATGTGCAGTCAATAACTAAGGCGGTAGGGCCGGTTGGGGAACGTTTAAAGGTGATTTTTTCAAGTTAGCTTCTAGATATTGCTCATAGATAACTTCTTTGGGTGAAAAACCCACTTAGTGCCATCATTTGATGAAAAGCTTATATAGGTATACATTTTATCAAACGCCGAAACTTCTGTGACATAAAACATGAATTTTATACCATTAAACTCTACTTTTGAAACTTCTCGATTTATTCTACCCCTGTATCTCAGAAACTATTCATAGTAGACTAAAAATGAATAGACACTTTTTCATAGGGAGTTTCATGTTGTTCAATTCTGTATACCTACATTTATTTCGCTAGACGCCGCGATTTAGGAATTGTTCAAGAAGTATTCGAAAAAATGACATTCAAACGATCCCCAACCAAGTCGCTCATCCCCTACGGGTCAGGACTTTCAGTATATGTTGTTCATGCCACTTCCCTCTACCATTGTACGAAAATTTGGGACTACCTACACGGTTTTTCCCCTATTCGCCTTTTTTTGGCGTTCGTTGATTGTACTGCGCTATGGTGGCGGCGTTTTTTGTCAGTCAGCATTTAAAGAAATGGTCCTCGGATATCTAGATTTTTTTGACATGCCCTGTATGTGGCAGTAAGTTGTTGTCATAGACCTTGTTGTTTAGTTTATATTCGTTTCTAATCCATGTTTCTAGCTATCATACCAAACTAGCAATCAGACTCTGACGTGATCAAGAATTTAGCGATATGCTTGCAAAGGACTTGAAATAGCATTGAATCATGGTTTGAATAGTTTTTTGTTCAATTCCGAAATGTTTTGACCGAAGACTGCTAGGTCAGTGGAGGTAACTTCAATATTGAAATTTGAATTATAACCACACATTCAACTGTGCGTCTTATCCGTTAAAAAAATCAGACAGTCAAATGGTACCCTGTCGTGAGAGTGACATCACAGGCAAGGACGTGAAATTAAGGAAACTGAAATGGCAAAGTGCAATAATTCATAGGTATATATCTTCAAAAAGAGAAACACATTGAACGGTATATTTGCATAAATCATTATGGATACATTTATTCATTGATCACTTTGTAGTATTTTCTATACATCATTTCAACCTAGATTTATATATCGGTTCTCTGAGTTGGTGATGGTTGCGGATTATAATGTAGTATTTAATATTTTAGGGAGGAACAGCAGAGAGCAGCATAATGCATCTGTCAGATTCGATCACACTCAGCGTGAGAAATCCACCACCTAAAAGGGTCGAAAGTCCGAAAAAATCGGACGCAAAGGCCGTCGCTAACATTCTAGCGACTAGAGGCATAACCGTCACAGCAACTGCGAAAGCCAAAGAAAAAGCAGAATCTTCTCAGAAAAATACCCCAAGTTTACCGGCTTCGCTGAATTTGAACGGGGCCGTCAGTATTATACCTGCAGCGAAGAATAACGGAGCACCTAATAAGGTTAGTAAATATCATCATTATTTCATATTATTTATTGGTACAGAGTGCAGACTATTTTATGCTGTATTATTGTGCTATGTAATGAAGATAATCAATCAACAGAAAAAAGGCTATCTTGGTTGCTGTGGAAAATGGAGCACAGAGCTGCACTTTATTGCTCATCTTACATCAAAAAGACAACTTGTTATTATTCGTCAGCGATTACTGAAGCTTGAGGTTAATGTTGATGTCAAACTTACCCAAATGCTTGATAGAATACAAAAACGTTATGATTGAGTTGGCTGGGGATTTCATATCAATGAAGGAGAAGAATACATTCTAAAGTAGTGAAGTAGTAGTAGAAGTAGTGCGATCTGGTGGACTATCAACATGTTGACCCTCATTTCTTTGATTATATTTCAGTACTTTTGTGATTTTTGTTTCAATATTCAAATATCCAATCTGCTATAGAATACGGAAAGTATGGAGGAATAAAATCAATATATTTTCATTATATGAATGATCTTGTAGGTTCCAGGTCATGGTTTATGAATTAAACTCTTTTGAAATTTTCTCATCAGTATCAATAAAACGACATTTTCATGATACCAGATAAAAGTTTTATCGCCAAACTGGGCGCATGCAAATCGGGCACCAAACAGGTAGGCACCCACCCTTTGCGGTCAGTTTGGAGGGATTATGAAAACTGCAATTTGGGCACCGAAGATTTAATTACGATTTAAGTACGTATTAATGGATGTTCTCATGTAACCTATATAAAGCCCCCCTGCAAAAATGAAACACATTTTATTATTCTTTGGTTATCGAGATTGTTATAGCGCGTATCGTGTATAGTTGCAATGGAAACCAAAATAATTTCCAGTAATAGAGGAAAACCAGTGTTAGTGTTTGATAATTTTAAATTTAGTTTTACTAAAGACATAAACTCAACGAGCGAACAATTTTGGAGGTGTACTAATCGGCAATGCAAAGCAACGGTGCATACCCTCGGGTCATCAATCGAGATGGTAATAACTAAACATCCGGGAGAGCACAACCACGAGGCAAATTTGGCAAGCCTAACAAGACAAGTTATAAGTGCTGCTTGCAAAAGGAAAGCTACAGACGACCTTGCGGAAAAACCTATGAAGTTCATCCGCCTGGAGTTACAAGGGGACCTTCCGAATAACTTAACGACAAGGGATGTCCAATACATAAGACACAATATGTACAATAGCCGCCGACGAACACTACCAACTTTGCCGAAGAACATGAACGAGGTACATATTGCTTTATCTAGTTTGAATGTAGTTACGTCGCGAAATGAGAATTTCGTACTAATTTTAGTAGATTTATTAATTCACAGTGTCGTCTTGTCCGAGTATTGTCTCAAGTTTCATCTCGAAAACGATATTCAATCGGCCTCTCTTTGTCAATTTTTCTTTTTTTTTTTTCCTTCTTCCTGAAGCCCAATCTCACGATGGTGAGGGCAAACAAGCCGCGGCTGCTCGTTAGATGGAACATTTTGTAGGCATCTTTGATCCAGTCACTCAGATGGACATATTTATCTGTGTAAAGATGAGGCAATTTGTGAATATCTGTTTGTTTGGCCGTGGATTGTTGAACGGAGCTCTGGCAACCTAATCCAAGTTGTGGCACTGAAGTAATATGGTGTTGATAACGGGACCTCTGGGAAACAGGGCGAAATCTCAGATTAATCAGCCTTAGCCCTCGGCAGGGGGCACCACAGGCCTGGACAAACCCATTACTGGTAGGAGAACGAAAACTTTTTGCCTACATGGACAAGATTAGGACTCGGAAGAGTAGTCTTCAGGAACCTGAACGAAAAGGGTCTTTCAAACTAATATAAAAACCATCCGGCGTATATGGTAAAATCAATCATGTCATATTCCAGGTACACTGGCACAATGCCACAATGTGCCAAGTGTTATCGGAGACTTCGGTCAGACCAGCCTTGGAAGGTGGTGGAGTGTTTAGTGGGTACACCTAGGGTCCCATGATGCAAACTGGCGTATTTGTCATCTAGCAGGGTACGGACAGATCATAGCTCCTTCCTCTTTTATTTCATCTAGTGACTTTGGTTTCGTGTATTGGCGTCCCTGACATGACATTGCTGCCACGTCACATTCATTGGCGTTAAAAGAAATCTTATAAAATTTCAATTTCATACTTGATCTAAATACGACATTATTCAAATCTATTTTGGAAGGATGGTAAAATGTGCTGCGTTAGGCTGTATCAGTCAGTTGGATGGCAAATTTGAATTTGTCAGCTTTCCATCAAATGCAAATGAACTTAGAACATGGAAAGTGGAGTGACCCAATGGGGAAAATTGTTAAATACATCAGCAAAATATTCGAGGTAAAACTAATACGAAATCACATATTATTTCTTATATATACTTTCTCATTGTGCCTATAATTATCCACTCCACAAATTTTTGAATGCATTTCAGTAGAAACAGTTTTGATTGAAACGGAGGATTTAAAGAAGAGGTATATGCTCTATCATTTGAAAAATTATACCTACATTCAGGAAGTATTGAGTGTTCGTGAAAAACTGCAAAAATGATTCCCAACATGGAAATATACAGCACACATGACATATTATGAGCACATTAGTTTGAATACCTACATAACATTTTTCACCATTTCTCAACCATAAGGCTTAGTCTGAAATCAAAATTAATTTATCGATAGGTACTGCCTAAGAACAGTCCCGTTTGGTAAAACGTATTGAACTTGAACTGAAGAATTGGAAAATCATCATCATCATCATTTGGATTTAATATGTAGAGTTGAATGAGAAATTACATGTGGCAATTACGTATGATACGCCAATGTCCTCAATATAACCTAAAAAACAACAAATGTCAGAAATCTAGTGTTTATCCTCAGAAATGAATAAAGATAAAGAAACTATATAACTGTTTCAGAAACACTTTAGAGTGAGAGGAGACGAGGATCTGTCCGTACCCTGTTGAGATGACAAATACGTCAGTTTACATCAAGGGACCCTAGGTACACCCACATATAGGGACTCCCACAAACCAAAAGTACGTCACCTCTCTTATTCATATAAATTCCAATTCCAGTCCTCGAACGAAGAAGCGCTACCCACCGTCGACCTCACGGACGACCTCTCGGCCGCCCAGTCGCTGTCCTCGCCACAGAAGCAGCGCCCCGGTCTGCCCTACCGCTGCGACCTCTGCCCCGCCCAGTACCCGAACGCGATGGGCCTGAACAAGCATCGGCAGACCTACCACAAGACGTCCGGCGGCATGGCCGAGCTGGGCATACCGCTGGTCAATCTCAAGGTACAGCGGCTTTATTTTACTACATTGACATAGTGCACAAAAAACGGCCAGTGCTGTATCTTCTCAATCATTCGAGATCGGATTTCGAAAATTGGTAGGTTGCAAGTATACCGAATCGCTCATAAATTGACAATAGTAATTTTCCTAACAAGTGCGGAAAGTGATTCTTTCCCGCACGCGACTGCCGTTGACACGAACGACGCGAAGCGGAGGCGATGTCAACTTGCCTACTGAATTTTTTTCATGGTGATATTGTGTTATATTTTACTCAATTGCTATCTCAGTCTTACAGGAACATGCAAATAGAAAAAAATTAATTATTCTACTAGAAAATGCAAGAAAGCATCATGAATCCCAAAAAGTTCACATAAACTGGTATTTTTCAAATGGAACACCCTGTATTTTATTTCCCCAATCGATAGTATTAGTTCGTTTTTTGCATCAAACTGGTCATGGTTTGCCATGGGCTGTCGATTCCCGGGTTTGTGCCTATAGGTTGGGAATCGCCCAGTATTATGGTTGAGTGGAAGATCAACTATCGATTTATCGGCGAGTTGAAGTCTGCCTTTTGTTCCTTTGAAACAATAAAAGCATTTATTATTATTATTATTATTATCAGCTTATTCTTCTGATTTTAAATATTATTCATACTTTATTGAGGTTCTAAATGGAGGCATCGTAGATAAACACAATTTCAACACTCAATTACATTTTTATTCACTCAGGTACAAAGATGAACGTTTATAAAAATACAACATCGACAAGTGATTCGTTCTGATGCTACGATGCTAATGACTAAACCTTCTTCAATCTTCGAACACACGATGATTACGAAAACCGATGAGTCGTCGAGACCGCTTGTGATAAGGCATTCCTTAGGCGTTCTTCTCATTTACGGGGTGATTTGAACATCGTCGCTAACAATGGATTCTAAGGCAGCTGTAGAACGCCAGAATTTTTAGCATTGTCATCTGGCGTACTACACCTTAGATCTATACCAAAATCTATATTTTTCAAAAACTGACGAAAGAAGACCTCAATAAAGTATACGATATTCGCGAGATTCACGAAGTGGGCGACATCTAGGTTACATAATACGGACTTCAAACTGGGGGAAAACAAACTGTTGTCTATGGATAAAGTGCATAGACTACATTGCATACATCTTGCTGTAGCTGTAGTTGTCAAACTTGTCAATGACATAAAATGTTATCACTCTTATCAGTACATAGTACACAAGCTAATGGCACTAATGGGATTGTGAGTGAGGGTTGAGTTTGTTTTCCCCCAGTTTTGACGTGGCTTTGACATGAAACGATGAAAACCAAGCGCCACCTGGTAACATTGATTCCCGCGAATATTCAAAATCAGAAGAAAGAGCTCTATCGTTTAGGGAAATGAAATACAGGGTGTTCCATTTAAAAATACCAGTTTATGTAAAATTTTTAGGTTTAGGATGCTTCTTTGCATTTTCTAGTATGTGATTCTGAATGCTAATGAAAAAACTTCAATTTGAACGATTCTGTAAGACCAATATCAACTGAGATAGCTATTGAGTGAAATATAAACAATCACCCTGTACATAATTGGTAGAACTCATGCAGAACTGATCATTATACAGGGTGTTGCGAAATTTTACTGGGAACGCTTGACAGGTGATAGCCCTCGTGATTTCATAATCACTGAGATAGGGACATACGATCTTCAAGTGTTCAGTTCTCGAGATACAGGGACAACAAGGTAAGAAATTGAAATAGTTTTTTCGGTATATCTCAAGAAAAATTGAATATAATGCATTCAAATTCGGTATATGATTTCATCTTTCAACGGTTACTTTTCTGACCAGAAAGACATTTCGAGAATTTTATCCAGAGGTGCGCTACAGAGGGTTGTGATAACTTTTCCTCCCATATTTTCTACGCCACTGATGAAATTTTAATTTTTTCCAATTTCTCGAATTGATTGTTCAATTATGTTGAAAAAATGCATCACCCTCAACTAAGCTAAAATGAACAGTTATCGAGATATTTGACCCAAAATAGAAGTTTGCATAGTAATTTTTCATCTTCCTCAGTAGTAGAAAATCACAAAAAAATTGTTTTCTCTTCATGCGTGGAATAACTTTTTCTGTTCAGCTATAGAATGGGATCTGAATAGTATCTAATCTACTCAACACCAGAAAAATATTTTTACAATTTTCTACTACTGAAAATGATGAAATATTACTATGCAATCTTCTATTCTAGGTCGAATATTTCGAAAACTGTTCATTTCAGCTCAGTTGAAGGTGATGCATTTTCTGAACAAAATTGAACAATGAATTCGAGGAATTGGAAATTACCGAAAGTTAATCAGTGGCGTAGAAAATATGGGAGGAAAAGTTGCCACAACCCCCTGTAGGGCACCACTGGATAATATGTACGGAATGGCTTCCTGGTCAAAAAATGGCCCATTCAAAGATGAAACATATACCGAAGTTGAATGCATTATATTCAATTATTCTTGAGATATTGCGAAACAACTATTTTTATTTCTTAACTTTAACGGCTCAGTGATCATGAAATCACGAGGGCTATAACCTGTCAAGCGTTGTCGGTCGAATTTCGAAACACCCTATATATCCATTCAAGTGAAATTCTTCATCAAAATTAGAAAAAATATTGTAGGAAACGCATTTTGTGTAACTCTGTTTTTTGCGCAAAATCCCATCGTTACACAAACTTACTAGTTCCGCTTTATTTGTTCCATTCTGGTAGCGGTGGTGGGAACAGAATGACGTATACAAATAAAACGACAAACCTCATGACCTTGCATGGGAGAATTTATATAAGAGGTTATAATTTTATATTGGGGCTCCAAATAATTTCAAAATCATGATACTAGAGTTGAGAATCCAGGTGATTGTGGTGATTGGAGAAACTTCTCTAATAATCAGAAACTTTTGAAACTCATGATAAAAATGTCTCCTGAATGTCTTTTACTTTCAACAAGATTTTTCACTAGCGTCTGCGGACAGGCGGAAGTAATAACTCCGGTGGTAGAGGAAGCTGTGTTCATCGTGGGAGAACCATTAGAAGCGACAACTCGACAAGAGCGGAGCGACTAGCGTTGCAGGAACCTTTTTTCTTGAAGAAGGAGAATTTTTCTTGAGGAAGGAAAATATTGTTTCTGCATAAAAAATGAGAAGGCGGTACATATACTGAAAATTGGAACGATACAGAGAAGATTAGCATGGCCCCTGCGCAAGGATGACACGCAAAATCGTAAAGCGTTCCACATTTTTAGTATATGTACTCGCTTCGGCGGTACATATACTATTTATGAGTATATCTGTACTTGTATTAACACCAAATAAAATATTCTATTCTATTCTAACCTAACCTAACCGAACCTCACCTCTGGCCTAAACATAGAAAACCCCTAAATGAACCTATTTCCCATAGAGAATATTTTTTAGAAATCACTTGAGAACAAGAAAAAAATAAAAAAAAGATGAACCTCGCACGGATTCGAACCCCGGCCCACCGGCTTGGCATGCCGATGCTCTGCTTACTGAGCCAACCAGTTGCTTACGAGACGAAGTATGATGAAGTCATTCAGTCGGCGCCGCATAACGCCAGTCGCATCTACTGCCCACTATAACGTTCTCCCACCACGGAGTCATTACTTCCGCCTGTCCGCAGACGCTAATGATTTTTCAGTCAATCTAATTTGATTTTTTGACAACTTTACTGTCAACAGTCATTCCACGTCATTCATTGTAGTGAGGCGGAATGGAAAGTAGCATCCTGAATCGGAAAAGTTGCAGATCAAATGACATATTGACAACTAGTAACTTACGCGTTTCCTAACTGGTTACGTAAATATCTATTTCATCGTTCTTGCCGTGTGGTCTTCAACTGACACACCCGGAAACTGCAGCCATATCCGCTGATTTGTCGCCACTCCAGGTATTGAATGTACTAATCTACTCATTCTACCTCAAGACGCCGGGCATGCTGCAGAAGCTGAGCGCGATGGGCATCCACAACTACATCCCGATACCGTCTTCGGGGCCGGAGGGCACCTTCTGCGTGCCCATCATCAACGCGAGGAACCCGGGCAACGTGGGCAGTCTCGGGGCCACCACGATGCTCTCTTTGGGGCCGATACGGAGCATTCCGAAGCCGTCGCCCAACAGTATGATGAATGCTGCCAAACAGCCGAATATGCAGAAGTAGGAGGTTATTTGCATTCTGTGAATGTGATGTATATTATGTACAGTTAGTTAAGTGTGTATAGGGACTGGGTGTTCATTTGGATTTCCAGGCTTGATGATCTCGCCAATGTTGGACTTGATTTCTTCCAAAAGTGATTTCAATTTGAGAATCACAGTAACAGTTTGATTTATGTGTATTATTTTCTTTAAGGCATTCAATGTTTTGTTCCAGATTTGAATCTCGTGATTTGTCAAGACAATGGATATAATCCTTAATGGAATCTCAAATGATCACCTTGAAAATGAGACTAGCCATTTTTTTGACAAATGATTTTTTATTTGTTTTCAAAATGGCTTTTTGATGTAGACAGAATTTCCGAGCAGTTGTACTGCATTTACGTTTAGGTTAAAAGTTCTCAGAATGTTTATATTTGATTTGGAAATACGTTTTTATAGACTGATTTACCTGTATACTAAATAGTACGGTTGTTTCCTGAATGTGCAATTTTGTGCAAAAATTTAGTTTAGATATTTTTGTACAATACTTTAGTTCATTTCCTTGTGAATAAAAAGTAATAAATCTCTAAAGATGCTGGTGTCCATATTTTTCCATATTCATTCTCTAAATATACCAGGTATGATGATTACCAATATACAATATAATAATTTATTGAATTTTGGTTATCCAATGAAAAATATGGGAACAAAAAAAGTAGTAGGTTGATGAAAGCGAACCGAAACTGATGTGCTATAGATATTACTGAGAATTTGAATTCTAAATCTTCAGAACATCAAATATGGAGGCAAACTACCAGACGATCAGGGCTAGCTGTGCAGAAGCCGAGTGCAAAATGGGCATCCAGAACTAGAGTGACTCCAGAACTATACATTCCGATATCCGGGTCATTGATCCGGGCAACGTAGGTAATCTGGCTATCACAATACTTGAAGCCGATCCAGAGCATTCTAAATACCTATAAACAGCCAAATGATTGCATTCTGTGAATGTTGAAAATAATATGTGGAAGTTATAACTAGAGTCCCTGTATCAGGTACCTACAGGTGTCATACTGCTGATGCTACTCAGAAGCAGTGTTGCCAACTCAGATTTTCAAAAGTCGCAAAATGGCAACCTGAAAAACACCAAAACAACCACCAAACATGACGGAACCGAAAAAAAAAATGCGCCGCAGGCGAAAATTTTTGCGAATCTAGTGATTTTCTGGTGGTTTTAACTTCAGTTAAGATCACTAGATTACACCAGTTGATGGAAGTCTAGCTGGTCAACGGATCGCGGCTTAATGATATATAAATAAATGTGAGGGAAGTTTTTTTTCCAACAAGAAACTGAAGAAATGCTTAACATCAATGACATACTTGTATATGCTACAAAAAACAGCCAAATTTGTGGATATAACCTTTGGACAGTGATTAAAGTTGAAAGCAGAATTCTTCTAACAACTCTTCTCTAGTTTCACTTTGTCGAGATTAGTTTTTTTTTTTCATAAAACAGGGGGAATTGTGCATACGTCCACGATCACCAGATTTCACCATTCATTCAAAAAAATTCACCAAAATAATCACCATCCACTAGATGTCATATTTTGTCACAAAATGAAAACCCAAACCACCAGTTCTGGTGTAAAATTCACTAACTTGGCAACATTGCTCAGAAGCCACTAGCTAGACCAGCGAATCTTTCAAACCTCAAGGTTATCAGAAGGTTTTTCCTGTTTATAGACTTATAAGGTAATATGAGAATGGAAAATATCTCTTCTGCATGAAAAAGGAAAGTAATTTCAACCTAACTGGTCCTAAATAAACCTTTTTCCTGAAAAGTATATTTTTGAAAAATCAATTGAGAAAAAATTTTTTTTATATACACAGACAAGATAAAGAAGGAGGAAATATCACGTTGTGGGTGACGTCACTTGACCTCAATGTTTGAAAGATTCTCTGATCTAGCTAGATGTTTCTTTAGAGATATTAGAGAGTTGAAGTGTTGTCATGAACGTTAACGTAAACGTAAAAATTGACAGCTACGCATGCGCATTTTCCAATTCTTCACGTTTGCGTTGTTAGTGGGCTTACGGGTGTACGTTATCTCACGTTCCTTCACGTATACCTTAAATATCAACGTACGTTAACCAAACTATACTCGAAATATGCCGATGAGTCAAAATTATCAAATTCGAGATCACCAACGAGTTCTGCATCAAGAAGTCCTCTAATTTTGACAGGAATAAATGTTCGAATCTAAACACACAACCAAAAATGACCAATACAAACCGAAAACAAAATGTATTATTACGTTATGATGACAGTGACGACCAAAGTGGCGACTTCAACTCAATTTAACGACAATACGTAAACGTTATTTTTCGTACGTTAACGTCGACGTGGAGGTCTACGTACAGTGATTACTTCAACTCTCTATTTATGTACAGAGATAGAGCATGTCGCGGTACTCGCGGTTGGTTGGTGTCAGAAGTTGACAAAAGTTTATATGTCTATGATTGATTTTTGATTGATTGATTGCATCCATAGAATTGCATCTGACGCTGAAAAAATCGAGGTGCCTGTAGTATCTCACATTACGGAGTGATTATTTGAAAAAGAAATACTCTGGACTTCAGAGGCGTTAACGTTAACTGCTAAGGCCACCGACATGTTGAGATCCAGTGATTCGCCCTATAACTTTCAAAGGGATCAGGTCAGAATGAAGCCAACACGCTTTTACAGTCCTGCCTCAAGACTCGAGACGTTTGTGAAAAATGATTTGTTGTCTTGTGTTTCTGATGTTCTAGGCGTTTTGTGCTGAAACAGGTGTTTTGTCAAAAAATTGTCAACTAGTCAACTGTCAATGTCAAGAGTCAAATCGTCAACAAATCCTCAACACAAACCAAATCGAAATCAACAAACGTTGATCGACAAATCTACAAAAAATCGAAAATCAACGTATTGATTTTTTGTGTTATCTGTGGCAGGAAAGAAATAATAAAAAAACATTTTACCGTTACCGAGTGGAAACAAGATTTTGTGTCTCAATCTACAATATGAAGTGGTATTCCGGAGACATAGCTCAAGCCATTGTGTTTGCCAAGTCAAGAGGAGCAATTTTTGTAGTGTACATTAGAGGTAGGTCCTGTCCCATCTATATTATCTTATTATCATATTAATTATCTTTATATTCACCTATTGAAAACTTCCAATGGAATGGTCCCGTTGGTAGAAAAGGATATTTACAGTTTCAATTTGTTTTACAGGTACTGATGGGCAATCAGAGAAAATAACATCTCTTATTGAGAATGGTGAACTTGGATCTAAATTAGAACAGGAATATTTTGTGGCAATCAAATTAGAAGCAGGTTCTACCCCACATCAGCAGTTTAGTGAAATATGTATCCTTTCAGAGAAATATTTTCAAAGGAAAATACTACTAATACTGAAGTTGGGTCACTGATTACAGCTCATAATGCTTAATGAATAACTTGAGAGATAACTGAAATAATAACACAATGGAGTCATTTTGATATCAGATATGGAAATACAATTGATGACAAACAAAGTACCTCATTGATGTATAGAACACAGTAAAACAAAGCAATTTTGTGTTATAGCTGTAGAAAAATAACAATTTCATTTTTGAACTCCAATGATCTCTCACACTCTTTTTATTCTTAGTTTTGAAAACATATGCACTATGATCCATCCCTGGTTTGGTCTTTTGTTTTGATGTTGAATAAATATTGTTTATAACAAGAGTTTGCTATCCTGAAGACCATCTAGTAGACCTAAACATACTATGTTTTGTTGGGTATGCTAGATTGGTACTGGTCCAAGTACTGGTCTAATAGGCATGTGACTACTGGAGTAATTGAAATCTTCCACATAACTTAGTCCTTGAATGCAAAAATTTGTAAATAATATTTCTTTTCCACCACTCTTGAGGCATTCTTGTCCACCAAGGTGTCTACTCAAAATAATAAAAAATACGATTTTTACTACTCTATAGGTGTTAGTCAGTTGATTAATGCCCCTTCATGGTGAAAAATCACTATCAATCCTTCTGATACTGTCTTAACTTGATGATAGATAAAGAACCAAGTATTCCATCCATATATTTCATTGGAAAAAATGGTGCTCCACTAGGCATCATTACTGGTAAAGATAATTTAGATATGATACCAAAGAGAATTGATGATATTTTACTGAAAGCAGGTTTGATACAGAATAGGCCAGGTAATTTCACTCTCCCAGTGTTATTGAAATAAATGTATGAATGCATATTTTTCCAGCTGATATCTCTGAAACTCTGATCCAAAATGAGCAATTGAGTGAAAGCAGAAATGTTTTAAGTGAAAATGGTGCAAATCAAAGCAAACCTAGTCATACTGAAGAGAATGCTAACCAGTCTGTTGAAAACATCCAGAAGGAGGGAAATAGTGAGCAGACAGCTGAAGATAAATTGAACAGAGCCAAAGAACTTCTGGAAAAGAAAAGAGAGCAAAAATTATTGGAAGAAAAAGAGGCAAGAGAAAATATTACATGACTATATAAAAAATATTGAAAATAACCCATATTCATGTGATTCTAAGAAAGCTGAAAACAAACAAGTTGAGGTGGATTTCAATTCTCATTCCAATAAAGCAGTGTCACCAACATGGCACACTTGTTGTTTTTATCAGCTGATCAGGAGACAAAGATCTGTGTGAATTTTGATTTTATTCTTTCTGACCCATTGGTGATTTTGTTGATATTAAAGGAGAAGAATGTGCATACGTTTTTGCAAACTGAGTATCTATCCATGAGGCATATTTAGTATATTTGAGCAGAACTTCAAGTGAATCCAGTAATTTTAAATTTGCAAATAAACCAATTTGAACTCTTCATTGGAATCATTCAGTTCTCCCACAGTATTCACAATGAATAAACTAACAAACATGTTGATGAATAAATGCTCCCCAGGTATAGTATCATAGTGGGAAATGTGCAAGAAAGTAACATGTACCCTTACAGAAAACGTTTATGCTGGTCCCCCAATTATATATATCCTGCTGAAAAATATAAAAATGGTGCACCATAACTCAAAATATATTTTTTTCTATGACTGGAAAGTTATAAAATGTCACATTTCATAAATTACTTTTTTCCACGGGCAAAAACCTCCGCAAAAACCCTTACAGAAAACGTTTATGCTGGTCCCCCAATCATTTTTGAATATTCAAATATCCTGCTGAAAAATTTAGAATTGGTGCACCATAACTCAAAATATATTCTTTTCTATGGCGGAAAAGTTATAAAATGTCACATTTCATAAATTACTTTTTTTCCACGGGCAAAAAGTGAATACTTTTTTCCTGGATATATCTCATATATATAAAATAAAAGCCAATAACACCGTCCCGAGAAAGAACTGCAAGTCCTTTTATCCTCCATTGGACCTCACGGTTATTTAAATTACTATACAACCACTAAATTCTCAATTTTTTAAAATCATATCACAGAATTAGACTGTCAGATATTTGATTACTTCAAGAGAATGATAAAGATGCCTGCAACGCAAGTGTAATGCCTGTTGAAATTTCAAATTTCACGTCGATAATTTTCTGATTATAATATAATGTAATATCTTTCCAATATTGAGTCGTCCTTCGTTCTGTCACATAAAAAAATAGTGTATTAAACACGGGAAAAATATTGAATTTTAACTCACGGTTTTCTGTCTCCCTCCGCTACGCGTCGGTTGACAACACAACCGGGAGCTAAAATCTACTACTTTTTTCTCTTGTATAATAAATAACTATTTTTTCAAAATGACCAATTTTGAGCTGAAAGAAATTTATTTTTGATAGGAAAGCTCCACTGCTCTTTGGCAAGATAAATAATCAATGACAGAATTCATGACTATAAACAACAATAATTACTATTTTTTTACTGATATTGCTTGGTTCAGTGTTTGAATAAAATTCGGGAGAAGGCGTTCATATCAGACATGAAACTGGTCAAAAATTGAAATGAAAAGTTTGGGACATATTAATGCACCAGTGATGGTAGGTATTTTGCCTTTGAGGATGTCAATATGCATTTTCCATCCCAACTTCTCATCAATTCAAATACTAAGATATTATATAAGTATTATTATAAGTGGTTTAAAATCCACTCTAAGCTTTGGTTTCCGCTCTTCTTTCTAAGCGGAGTTGATCTCCAACTTTGAAGTAGAGATATACAAATTATATTAATTGTATCACTGCTGATGACACAATAGATCATAAGTTCTTGAGGATAGACGTTGATTGATTTAGTCACCCAAATGCGAGCCCAAATGTCCTCTCATAAAAAAAATATTACTAACCCAGATTGGTTTTCTTTAGGAATACCCTTTATATCATTCAAACAAATTTGATTCAAGTGACATTGGGTATGACATTTTTTGATACTAAAAATCATGTAGACGAAATTCGAAGTTTAATTAAGAAATATTCGCACGAAACATACCTACCAGCACAACATAACAAGTGTAAACATCATATTAAATAATGCTTTAAGACATTTGAACTACAAGACAATAGGTAGTCATTTTCCACATTGAAAATTCCAGAATGAACGTCTCAAAGAGATAGAGCGTCGCAAAATGGGTCAGGGCGTACAGCAACTGAAAAAATGGCAGGAGGACCAAGAAATGAAACAGCTGAAGGAAGACCGCGACAGAGAAAAGCGGGAAAACCAGGTAGCAAGAGAACGAGTTCTAGCTCAAATTGCTCAAGACAAAGCAGAGAGATTGGCTAAGGCTCAACCACAGTCGCCACCAGAAATACAGCACCAGAAAGCCTCACCTCCAAGCGCCTCTGCTACTATCAATTCCAATATGACGAGGCTTCAGTTCAAGCTTCCCGACGGTTCTAGCAACACAAGAGAATTTGCGGTTTCGGACTCCCTGGAGTCGGTTGTGTCCTACATAAAATCCAATCTGAAGTTGCCTTCAAACAATTTCATCCTGTCCACTACCTTTCCCAGACGGGATTTCTCTAATAATGATTATTCCCAGAGTCTGTTGGATCTGCAGCTTGTACCCAATGCTGTCATTTTGATTTTGCCTTTGAATCATGGTTCAGTCTCCACTAACCCGGGTGGAAGTATTACTGCTATGATTTGGAGTCTGTTGGCACCACTTTGGAATATATTTGGGTTTTTTAGGAATTTCATTTTTGGGATGAATCCTAATGCTGGGGGAAATAAGAGACCGTCAGATGATGCAGCTGAGCCCAGGTAAGAAATCGATTTATTATACTAGGTCACGGAGCCGGGATTGGCGCAGTGGAAGAGCGTCCGTCTCACGACCGCAAGGTCGTGGGTTCGATTCTCAGCACGAGCAAGGAACTTTTTTCAATATTTTATCTACGAGATGAATATTGTAAAGTTTTGGAGCATCGTCCTGCACGATTGGCTGTTGCGTTCCAATAAACAGCGCTGCTCCTAAAGTGGCGCATTGAGTTAGCAACAAAGCCTACACAGAACACGCAGAAAGCGATGATGATGTGGTTGTGAGCATCAGAGAAGAAGTAGGATGGTGTATGTAGGTGGGTATGGAAAACTACCAGCTGAGCGTGAGAGCGGGCCAGCTGCTTAGTGGACCTCGGTCTCTAACGGGGGTTAACGAGGATAGCTAGCAGGCCTGCCACTGCGGCATATGGTAGTGAGTACATTACTAGCCTACAAAACACAGCCGAAAAACTCTGAAAGAGAGCTGATGGGCGGTGCCTGAAAAGGATGTTAGCCAGCTCTCTTAAGCGAACCACATCAGTCATTGAAAACACCTTGGGGTTTGCAAAAAGGTCCCATTAGGGACTAGTTGCTGACGTGCAAACGTCCCCCACCAGTACCAGTATTATACTAGGTCACGGATTGTCGTTGCCAATATGGCTATATTACTATGCCTTTAGGACCATTCATTCATCCAGTGGTCATTGGAGAGAAAAAAGCAAATCTGATCAAGCTGCTATGAGTTATTGTGTTATCTCATATGAAGAGAATCCCAAACGAAAATTGGAAACTGCTTTTATACACACGCCTGGCAAAAGAAATCTTCTCAAAGGAAAATCATCTATTGAAGTGAATAATATGAATAGAGATCCATGGGTATCTAATAGAGAGTATAAGCAAAGTAAGCGCCATGGCCATTATATGTATTCAGTTCGTGTGGCAAACATGCCACTAAATGGATGCCATACATAGGTGGAAGGCAAGGTTTGGCTGTGTTGCTTCTATTTTCTCTTTTTCAGATACTCCTGAACCTCTATGCATATTCACTTCAATAGATAATAAAAATAACATTTATTGGTCCCAAGAAACATAGGTACATGTTTATAGAGGGATACAAAAATAAATAAATCAAATATGTGATGAATTTAAAAATAATTATTTCAATCTGAATTAATTGATACATGGAGAGAGTTAAATTGATGAAATATATTTCTTCAGTTCACTCTCGAATTTTGTTATAAACTAAATATAATGATTTTTCCCCAAATTGGGTTTTTATTTTGACAGATTTCAAATGTTCACTTTGTCTATGAGATAGATGGTTTTTCTACAAGCGTGCGTGATTCACCCTATACCCGCACGCAATTTAGTTTGGGAAGTGTCATTTTCCCGCAACAGCGCGGGAAAATTTTCCCACACTAGTGCGGGAAATTTTTTCCCGCACTAGTGCGGGAAAAGAAAGATATGATAAGATCGCTAGTAATATAAGTGGTTGGTGATGGAATATAAAAGTTTAAGTTTGTTTGTTGCAGTATTAAGTATGTATGTTCAGAATCATCCATCAAATTGCACTATTTATTGTAAAAATCAAGAAATATTGAGAAATAAAAATGGAATATTATAAAAATCCCCTATAGATTTGGATTGATCTGACGGGAAACGTCAATTTGTCATGCCAATCAAACCTCAAATAAGTTTGAAATTGTCGAAGTGACAGACACAGCGTTACTGTCATTTTCGATTCAGTGGAAATGCCACAATGTGATCAAAAACTTCTAGCTATAGGGATTTGATACAGATGCGTTATCACCAACGAAGTCTTAAGAAAGGTATGAGAAGCTATACACGCGTTTTATTGAATGGTGCAACAATAAAGAAATGAAAAAAACGAATGAAGAATAGGTATTTTTGGGTCATTTCATAGAAGTGTCTGGAACCTAGAGACCAAACTCCTAATGGGCCTGCTGGCTTCCGCAATGAACCAACATAATGCGCCAAACTGTAAGTTCACAATAGCTAATACTAATAACTAATAATTAATAGATAGAGAATATATATCTCTTGTTAGTTGTTCCTATTTGCTTGAATAATTGATTGAACGATTCAATCAATTTGCTACGCTTGTAGAAAAAATATTGTTCCTAACTCATGCGGAAAGATTCTTTCCCGCACTCGACTGCTTGCCCGAATTCACTTGTTAGGAAAATTACTATTCCCTATGAGAAGATTTATCTTCCAAAACGTGTATTTGGAAAATTCACAGCCCAGTAGCAAATATTATTCGTAATTTAATCTTTTAATGTGTTTTAAGCATAACTGATAATCCAATGTGTATAATATTTTACAATATTTTGAAGAGAAAACTATACAAAAGAGTAAATAAACCCGAAATCATCTCAATGTTATTGATGGGGGATATGTTTCGGACTTATTTAGGCCAACATCAGCAAGATTCCAATCATTGTATCAAGATTTGTAACTTAAGAAAAACATTGAAAAAAATTACTTAATATCAAATATACTATAGGTACTTTAGGTTCCTATGAGGAAAGTTATGTTTTCCTTCAAATGAAATTGTGGAGATGATTTTGAGTCTACTAGATTTATCTTCACCACCACTTTGAGACACCACAGATTTCAGAGACTTCTACTTTTTCTTCCTTTTAGAGCTGATCAGCCAAAAAGAAGAATGCGTGATTCTACTGTAGTGAAAAGGCAAGGGAACATTCATAGACTGACCGATAAAAGAGATAGTGACGATGAAAATAATACTTGGAATGGAAACTCTACACAACAGATGTGAGCATGATTAGGATTATTTGATACATTTTAATTGGTTTTTAATTTTTGTTAATATCAATTCAAGAATAAAGTTATATTATATTTCATGTTAGTTTCATTTTTTTATATCCTCTTATTCTTGATCACCATTGGTTCTATGATTAAATGAAAACATTTCAAATCATTATCTTTCCACATGTTGAAGTCTTCATTTGATTTTAAATTGCCCTTTTCAAATTGATTTGCCTCAGTCCCAATCGTCATTGATAGTGGTACAAAAATAGGCAAGTATATCAATTGGTATAGAAGAACAAGCCAAAATATATTTTTTTCAATTTAATATTCTGTAAAACTGACGGAAGTTTTGAAACGTCTCACTTTACACTTTACGTAAACAGTTGTTGCATAAAGTAAAATTTTTCATAACTACTGGTGATGAAATGTTCATTCCAAAACCATTTACGAAATAAAAATATGAATGGTGAAAGTGGATAATGACTTTTGTACTATTTTCAGTGAGTATTTCATTATGTCACTACAAAGCTCAGATACGACCTGTTTCAAAACACTGTTCCCACATAATATATATTATGGGGTTCAGCACCCAAACATACGGTGATGCTCTTTTATATTCCATCCAGAGACGAGCTATTCACATGGTGAGTGATACGACACTAACTAATTAACATCAAAAGAATACCGTAGAAAAGTCGGTGGTTTCCTTTTTCTATAGATACTTCCACGGAAAATGTTCAGATCGAAATCTCTGTTATAATTCCATCACTATAGCAATACCAGTCTGACATACCTACTCGACAGGCTCAGTCAGCACATCTTTTAGTCGTTAATCTCGAATTATGTCGAGCGCAACTCTTCCAAAACTCGGTTGCCTGTAGAACTGCAAAATTTTGGAATTGTTTGCCAAAAGTTTGAAAATAAATTACCAATACCTACGCTTTCTCTTTATCCTCCCGATAGGTACGCACCAACACGATGTTCCTCGAACATTATTGGGATTCCCTTTCGTGCGCTCCAAGAGATAAAAATACTTATTCGTTTTATATCTAGGCTGCAAAGAAGTAGAATGAGTCAGCGGCTGGAATAGGGATTCAGCCAACATAATTTTTCCTCCAAATGGTCTAAAACCAATTTTGTGTATTTTTTTAATAGAAAAATCGCCATCATTTTGTGTTCACCTAATGTCAGTGTCAATTTTGATTACCAATTTCATCCAAATTACTTGGAACATTGCATTGCTTTGCAAACTTTTTCTGCCAAGGCAGAGAAAGTACACCTTTCCTGCCTGTTAAGTGTCAGAGAAAAGCCACTTTCTATGCCGCTTGGAGAATATGACATTTTTCTACAAACGTCAAAAATGACAATTTTTGCGCATTGATATGCGAAGTGAACCTTTTTTCAGTTTCCTAATCTATACGATACCACGACACTGTGCGCGAAATAGATTGCGAATCACGTTTTTCGTGCACGTAAACTGTTTGAGATTTTAACCTTTTATGGATCTCGGTCAAGAAAAATCCAATAAATCGCATTTATTTCTAAATCTTTAACAATAATTAAGGCTTAGTACTGTATGTAATTACTTGATTTGGAAAAATATCTTTAGCCAGTTCAACATCATTTTTATATTGAGCTAAAAGCCTCCAAGCAAGCACAGTTACATCAGAGAGATGTCGCAGCGATGTAACAATTCAGACCTGTGATATCGCTTTATATGTGGCATAGACGTCGCTGATATGTAAGATGGATGTTATTTTGTCCCATTCAAGTTTCATTCATGCGATTTTGCAGTGATAAGTTATCTGCGATATAAGTAACAGCGATATATTTTATGCAATGTTATTGCGATATGGTATTTGTAATGGAAAAGCGATGTGTTTTAAAACGAAAAAAAGTTTCCTCGAACATGGTGTGATGAAATTGGTTCACCACTGACCTCTGATGACAGCTAATATTGATTATGTGTTGTTATTGTGACTGGTTGGTGGTCTCTCTGGTTTCCTGTCCAGTCATTCGTATTTCAGCGACGCTATATCCTTGGTACCTACGATACTCTATCAGAATGAGATCTGTTTTACTATACGTCCATGCATGGTTTCACTCGTATTTGTAATACGTAATATCGCAGTGTTGCCTCATCGTGATATCTAAGGGATGTCATGTCATAGATGTGTTTGCTTATGAACATCTTAGCGATGAAACGTTCGCGACACGAACTGTTACCTGAACGTGACATCTCAGAGATGTCATGTCACATACCAGATAGCACAATGTCATTCAAAGAACGTTCATAGGATATTCTTGGAGAATTTTTTTTCTTTTTTCATGTTCTGGTTGCCACGAACATCGTGAGAACCAAGGGAAATGAGGTAGGAATTGGTGTTCTTCGTAAATTTCTGGAGGTTGGAACGAGTCATTGGAAAGAGATATGTTCTGCAGGTCTTCAAAGTGACCACGAAGGGGTGCGAACGCCGAGGGAGGAAAAATTGTTGATATTTCAGAAGAGCATTGTTCATGAAAATCTCTGTTTACATCTCGCATCCAACGACAGTGGCGGCCATTTTCACCGAAACACTTACACCACAGTACCACACTCCTCAGTAACAAATATTGGAATTAAATTATTATAATACAATTAATACACACCAGGAATATATTCGCGATAAAAAATAACACGTCGCTCCACCTGACGGCAACAACTTGAACACTTCTGAGCGGTTTGTTTTGATGACATGACCAATAAGCACAAACAAAAAACAAATGTGAACCAATGAAAACAAAGTAAACATGTCGCTTTGACAGCTTTCAAGAACTCCGATAGGTGGCGTACACTTATTTCCTATCGCGAATTAACAAAAATACTATATTGTTATTGTTTTTTCTCAGTGACGAATGCCCATGGTGGTTGACACTGTTGACATTTGACAGAACGTCAATAATACCCGCCATGAATGGCCAATCAGCATTTTGTGTTGGAACTATAGCCGATGAGACTCCACCTTCACATTACCCAATAAATTCTTGGATCTAAAAACGAGCGCATGCGTCTTAAAATATATCTAGATGAAAAGGCCCATGGCAGATTTGGATTTCCTGAATAGATATAAATAGATAACAATCAATGTATCGTCACGTATCGTTAGTTGCATAACCGACTGCAAATAAAAATATGACATGAAATAATTGTTTCATTCATGAAATTATATGATAATAATAATAATAATAATGATCATAATAATAATTTATTCATCCATAAATAATATCATCATTCAAATGGCATGTTTTCAAACTCGATGAATAAATCACTAATCCATGTAAGGATAACCTTGATCATGGAGTGATCAATGAGTGAAATAATCATTAACAAATACAACTCGTTCCATTGATGATTACACCACGCTCAACGCTATGCGCTCGTGTGACGTGTGGTTGCCAAGAAAAATAATTTGTTTTTCAAAATCATAGGGATTTGTATTTCAATATATAATCATCAATAATGCACTGGTTTTATTTCATACGATAATACTAACAATACAGGTTGTCGTAACATGAGTAGGGATCGACCGATATGATTTTACAGGGCCAAAACACCGATATATCGGCCATAAAATTTTGCTATGAATTTGTTGATCTATAAAAGTGAGGTAAAACTGAATTATAACTAAATAAATAAACAAAGCTCAAAGCCATTTTCACAAATGTTCATAAATGAACGAAACTGGTAGATAACGAGATGAAAACAACTAGGTACCTACTTTCCTGGCTATATGCCACGCAGAAAATTAAATTACATCATCACGATATCTGCTATGCAACGATTCGTATAGACCAAAATTAGGGAAAAAAGTTCCCCTTGAGAGCCAATTTACACTCACCGGCATAAAAACCCGGCAAAATAATTAAACAAAATCGATCGCCCTGTAACTTTTATAATTCTTTCCGATTTTGGGGAAATTGTAGATTCAAGATTCGGAATGTTATCTGGAATTTCAGTTTTCAAGAAAAGCTGATGGCTTGATCATTATACAGGAACAAAATACTCTGTCATAATAACTATTTCACGCGCTGAGGCAAAAGTAAGTAGTTAAATTTTGCTTCATTATGTTTTAGATTGGAGCGAGGATTGGAGTATGATTGTTTTTTAACATGTTTCGTGATCCGAAAAATAATATAACACCGTGTTGGTTCATAATGCTCCTGTTACATTCAATCAATGATCTAATAATATATATATATTATTAGATCATTGCATTCAATTCAATTTTAAAATTTATTTCACCAATTTATTCGAATAAAAAAGGGTAACTCAATCAGTTGAAATTGAACAGGCAAGGAACATAATTATGTGTGATGTATCGAATGTAATTTTATAATATACACCTAGGAATGCCTCAAATGTGATTTTCAATAATAATTCAGAGTTATAAGTTGATTCGAAAAAACTGTATTTCACCAGGAATTAGAAAGTTGACCAAATATCCGCATTTAAGTTAAGATTATCGTTTGACCCTGTATATCTGTAGTGTATCCCACCACCCCATGTACTTCAGATATCATCATTATTATTATTAGTCATAGATAAATACTTGTTTTCTTGTTTCGAGATTTGATATAGGATCGAAAGGTGACCCAACAAATTAGTCATTCGGGACAAGGTGGTGAATCGTGTCAGTCTTATGTTAGATGTCATCGCGTACGGTCTACTTAAAAGTGCTCGTATTGATCATTCCAGAACACGTGATTTTGACATGGTTTCTTGAGGGGCACACAAAGTATCTGTTAGGTTACCTTTGATGAGTATAGACCTGGCCATCCCTGTCATATCCACCAAACAAAATTATGAAATTCTTTCTGATTCCAACTCGGATTCCACGGAAAACGATCCCACTAATTCTGGTTTCATATGACAAATCTTGACAAAATACAATGTTTGCCCCTCAGCAACCTGTCAAATGACGTAATTCTGGAATGATTAATTAGTTTCAAGCAAGAATCTAGTCACTAGTGCATATCGCGAAATAGTATACATGGTTTTTCAATATTAGCTTCATTTAGACGTTTCTGGCAAACCAAGCAACAGGTAAATA